CCTAAGAATAAATTGCAATACTAGTGGCATCATCAGTTTATATAAGGTATGAAATGTTGCATCTTTGAAAACCTATCAATCGCTACAAAAATTGAATATTTCCTTTCATTGATCTAGGTAAACCCAAAACAAAATCCATTTAAATATCAGTTCGTAGGTTCACTAGAAACAGGTAAAGGTGTATACAATCCTTGATTCAAAACTTATAGATTTTGCTTGTTTGCACACAACACATCTATCACAAATTCTTTGCACATCTTTCCTCATTTTATGCCAATAAAAATTTTCGTTTAAAGTATCTAAAGTTTTTGAAATACCAAAATGTCCCATTAAACCTCCCCCATGAGATTCTTTAACAAGCAACATTCGCATAGATTAGAATCATAGGTATGCACAACTTATTCTCTTTAAATAAAAATTCATCCATTCTATAGAATTTACCGAATGCAACTTTCTCACATGCCTTAAAAATGCTAGAAAAATTAGAATCATTTTCGCAAAAAGATTTAACATATTCAAAAGCAAGCATTCGAGCACCTAAAGCATTGAGTAAAGCATACCTTCTTGAAAGTGCATCTGCCACAACATTCTCTTTGCCTTGCTTCTGCTTAATCACATAAGGAAATGTTTCAATGAACTCAACCTATTTAGCATGCCTCTTATTCAACTTACCTTGCCCCTTTAAGAACTTTAATGATTGATGATCAATATGAATGACAAATTCTTTGGGCCTTAGGTAATGCTGTCAATTCTCCAAAACTCGAATCAAAGCATAAAGTTCCTTGTTATAGGTAGAATACTTCAATGAAGCACCATGGAGCTTTTCACTAAAGTAGGCAATTGGTCTTTTTCCTTGCATAAGAACAGCCCCAACACCAACACCTGAAGCATCACACTCAATTTCAAAAGTATTAACAAAGTTAGGCAAAGTAAGAATAGATGCCGAACAAAGCTTATCTTTTAACAAATTAAATGCTCGCTCTTGAACCTTATCTCACTTGAAAACATAATTTTTTTTTATTACTTCCGTAAGTGGTGCACCAATGATACTAAAGTATTTAACAAATCGCCTATAAAAACTAGTCAAATCATGAAAACTTCTAACCTCACTTATCGATTTAAGAATAGACTAGCTCTTAATAGCACTTACCTTCTCTTCATCAACTTCAACACCTTGCTTACTCACGACAAAACCTAAAAACACAATTTGATCTAAACAAAAAGAACACTTCTTGAAATTAGCATACAACATCTCTTTTCTCAAGGTAACTAAAACACTCCTCAAATGTTCTTTATCTTCATTCAAATTTCTAGAATACACAAGGTTATCATCAAAGTACACAACAACAAATTTTTCAATGAAATCTTTCAAAACATGATTCATAAGTCTCATGAAAGTATTTGGTGTAGTAGTTAAACCGAAAAGCATTATCAACCATTCATATAATTCATATTTTGTTGAGAAAACAGATTTCCATTCATCACTCTCTTTCATTCAAATTTGATGATAGTCACTTTTAAAATCAATTTTGCTAAAAATAGTAGAGTCATATAATCCATTAAACATATCATCTAACCTAGAAATAGGATGACGATACTTTACCGTAGTGTTGTTAATCGCAAGGCAATCAACACACATACACCAAGAACCATATTTTTTAGGCACAAACAATACTGGAACAGCATATGGACTCATACTTTCTCTAACAAATCCCTTACCCAATAACTCCTCAACTTGCTTTTGAAGCTTCTTTGTCTCATCAGGATTACTTCAATAGACTGGTTTGTTTGGAATTGAGACACCGGGTATGAAATCGATTTGATGCTCAATACCTCTAGTGGGTGGCAATTGATTAGGTATCTCATTCGGAAAGGCATTTTCATATTGCTGCAAAAGAGAAACAAACACACTAGGCAAAGAAACATTAAGGTCGTTAGTGTTTAGATAAAGTTCCTTGACATAAGCAAAAATATATTTTTTCTTGAAAACCAAGCTTCCTTAATATCACTCCTTTTTGCATACAAGCTCACTTGTTTCTTTTTACACTCATTTGAATTCTGCCCCTCTTTTGTCAAACTCACTTTCTTTTTCACTTTATTATTTTTTCCACTCTTTTCTTTTAAAAGCTCGCTCTTGGA